GCCATTCAGTCATCCAGCATCACTGCTGCTTGAATGAATGTAAAAGAGAGAGGCTGTGCTGAAATCCATAGTGCTTTCTAAATAAAGCTTGTCATATAGGAAAACATAATTTAATTCCCAGGGTAAATAGCCTAGAAATGGAAGAATCTGCTTTTTCATGCACATCATATAACTTCTCTTGTAACAGAAATAGTAATTTCATCATCAGCAAATGCTGTTGTTGGCACTACTTTAGCATTGTAGAAACAGTTCTGTGATAAAACAATTTGTTATTTCTTTCAGACTTCGGTGTTGTGGGGTTTTTATTGTGATTCATTATGTATTATGTACCAACAATAGCTCTTACCAGTAAAAATTGCTGTGGAAATGACCTCTTAGAACAGTGTTGTATGATGTTGTATCCACTAGCATCAGGGAATTTCTTACGGAAGAAGTAAATACGATCAATTAGTTGTACAACATTTAGTTAAACTTCAGTTTCCTTTTCAAGAGCTTGCAGAAATGGCAGAAATCTACTCCATTTTTCTTTTCCTTGCAAATTTTCATTTCGTCTTTGGGTTTTGCGTTTCAAAAGTTTGTATTTTTATCTAAATTAGTTCAAGCTGTCACCAATGCATAAGCTTTTTGTCATTTTCTTTCCACACAGCAATCTTCCCCAAGAAAACAAAGAAAACAATGTTTAATTCACTGCTTTGCATTTTTCTTACAAATATTGCACTTATTCCATCTCATTATTCATTGCAGCAGTGGCCAGATCATACTATCGCAAAAGGGTTCTGTCATGATGAAGGGCTTCTTTTGGGTTTGAGAAGTATCTTGAGGGAAGCCAACCAGTGCCATTTGGCAGCTCCATTCTTACTGCTTTTGTTCTCCTTGGACCAGATGGCTTTCTTGCTCACAGGTTCCAATGGGACTTCTTGTGGGGTAAAATACTATATAACATCAGTGGAGTTACAGCAATCTGGTCCTCCCTTTGCAAAGAGAGATTAAAAGTCCATTTCTGCAGGGACTATGAAAATTAGAGAATCTGCTAAATAACAGCTCTGAAATGCTATATATGTGTACTTGTTTTGAATGGGGAGAGGAATTTCCTGGACTAACTCTGAAGCTAATGTGAAGGAGGGAGGGTGATGGACCTGCTCGGTAGCTCATATGGGAAGCCCCTTGCGTGTTAGGTGCTACACAACCAGAACTTGTCAAGTCTCAACCATCACAGCCTGGCCCCTTGGTTAATCATTTATAACCATGAAAAATAAGGGCAAGGTGGGTGCAGAAAGTTCTCATTCTGTCTCAGTGGCGTGTTTTGACCACTCTTGTGTTTATTTTGCTCAGGCATAAGCGACAACACAAGATGTAGGGCACAGTGAAGCAACGCCTGGGAATTTTGCCACTGATGCTAATGGTGTTGGTCTCTAATCCCTTTCCAGCAAAGGCGAGATGATGCATCAGCAAAATGGACGCCCACACTGGGAGAGACACCAGGACCATTCACAGCTGCCGAGACACTGAAACAGTATTTTGGGGAGGGAAAAAAAGAAAAAGCTCATTCCTTAATATATGGTCTTATAGGGTAAATATTTATCCAGCCATCTAAAGGCAGGAGTAATCGCTGCAGTTTTCCCTTCACTCAGAGACTGGAGATTTTCCCTGACTGTGAAAAAAAAAAAGAAGTCCAATTTTGTGTATGTGAAGAAATCAAAGCATTGCCCTTGAAATGGGTTTTTCAGCTGTCTCCTGGGTATTCTGGGGTTAGTTTTCACCACGTGAGGTTCTGAAGTGCATACTCAAAGGTTCAAACACAGGAAAATTGGCTATCACTGCCAGCTCTGTTGGGTGGGGAGAAAGCAGTTCCTTTATAGAAAAAGGAGGCGGGGGGGGGGGGGGGGAGGGAAAGAAGGAAAGACTTTTTTTCTTCATCTTCCAAGGGACTATATGAGAATGAGCTTGAAGAAGTCTTGACTTTTATTATATCCTGTAATCAAATTTGAGCATCTTATTTGCTTCTTTTCTCCAAGACCACCCTGACGGTAACAGTCCACACACACACAATTTTGGTATGCATAAACCCATAAATTTCATAACAGAATATAGGAGCTGAGGTTGTAGGAGGACTGTAAGGCAGAAGGTGCTGAAATGTAAAGTCTGTGTGTGTTTGAAGGGATGTCATTTATTACATACTTCTGCCTCTTAAAAAAAAACACCTTACTGTTACCACACAGACTGTATAAATATATATTGCCTAACGCAGGATGGTGTGGTGTAAAGGTTTTATTGGCATGCAGTAGCTTAGCTTGAGTAGGAAAGGCCTGAGCAATCTCTGTATCACCTCAGATGTCTGCCAAGAAAACACATCCTTGGCATGGGCAATGAGAACATCCCCAGTGACGCTGCATAGGTGTAAATCTAATGAGGATAATAACCCATGTGCTTCAGGGCATCAACCCATTACTGGCTGCCTGGGATTAGGAAGGAATTTCTCTCTTGGTTGTGTTATTCTAACGACATTTATTGTGGGGCTCCACACACTTCTCTCTGAAGCCTCTGCTGCTGGCCACTGCAGGAAGAGGATAATGAATTTGATTGACTACCTGGAAGGGCCTGATCTGGCAACTCAGGCTCTCTTCTGTGAATTCTCTGATGATACCTGCCTTATGTGGTTTGGAAACTGTTTTGATGGGGCACTTTGTGCACATCTTTCTGTAATGCCAGCTCCTGCAAAGCTTCTTTCATTAATGCATGGAGTATTTTAGGTTGGCAGGGAGATCTGCAGATCTCCAGTCCAGCATTCCACTCCAGCCAGGACTGACTTCAAAGTCAGGTCAGGTTGCTCAAGACCTTGTTCAAGCTCTGAAAATCACAGGATCACCAAATGGTTTGGGTTGGAAGGGACTTTAAAGCTCATCCCGTTCCAACCCCCCTGCCTCGGGCAGGGACACCTTCCACTAGATCAGGTTCCTCCAAGCCCCGTCCAACCTGGCCTTGAACCCTGCCAGGGATGGGGCAGCCACAGCTCCTCTGGGCACCCTGTGCCAGCACCTCAGCACCCTCATAGTGAAGAACTTCCTAATATCTGATCTAAATCTCCAGGGGTAGGAATTTTGCTGGCTGAGGCCACCCTTGGCCTGAATCGTTTCTGGCAAGGTCTATCTTTCTCCAGTGAACCTGGGAAGAACATAGATGTTCCCCTTAGATTTAAGACCTACTTACTAGGCAGTGGTATTTACCTGGAATGGGTCTCAGCCAAATACAGAGTTTTCCAAGGTGAAGGGAATAGTGACACTTTATGTAATGCAGATTGATGAGCTGACTGTGAAAAAATCCCAATGGAATAATAGAGAAGGTAGTTTCTTCAATTTTCAGTGGTGTAGAACTACTGTTCCTGAGCAACAAGTCCTTAAAGCCAGCAAGTTTCTCAATACAGCTTTATACCTGACTTATTGTTGCACATATAAAATTAGTGAAGATGTATCCTGTTGACAAATGGCTTTGGATTTCAACCATGTGAGCTGACATTTGAACTCTAAAGGCTTAATGTGGGCTCTCCTTCCTGCAGCTGGTAGAAAAATCCAGACTATTGCTCTTTCTTCAGGAGAGAGACATTTCAAATAAAACATTGTGAAATAACACATCTGTCTTTTTAGGTGACAAGGAAAAAATAGTGGGAGGGAAAATTAGGAAATTCCATCTGGTACAAAAGTAAGCAAAAAAAATAAAAATCTCAAAATCTTTTAAAGATTCTGGCTAGGAATCATTGGCAGCTCCTAAAATTCCACTGAATTCTAGACCTCCCCAGGAAAATCTGCTTCCCTGGAAATGGATCTGGAAAATCCCTGGACATGGTGCTTTTTAAAGAGAAAACAAAACCACAGGCGTTACCCCTTGGAGAAAACCATCCCCAAGAGATTGGGATGAGAAATGATTATCCAAATAGCAAACTGCTCTTCATTTGGTTTTATACTTTATGAACAGAGGCATAATGCTTATTGTAAAGTCTTTTATACCTCAGGAAGTCCCAGTGGATTTCTTGAGGATGAGTAAGGTTTTCCTATTCCAGCCTACAGAGGAAAGAAAAAGGCCAATTGAAAAATCACTTTTTATCCCCATCTAAGCAACTTCCATAATTTTTATTAGCAAACCCAATTGAAGTCCTTCCTTCAAGGCAAAACGCCCTCTGCACACTGTCTTCTTTTGAGGGGCGTAAATGGAGTGACTGGAATCTGGAAGGATCTCTCTGCAGTTCAAAAAGTGACTTTCTCCTTCCTTTCCCCCCTGCCTAGTGCCACAGCAGGGGAAGATTGTGGGAATAAGGAGAATAAGAGCTCCCGCAATGTTAAAGTTTGCTGCTGTGTCAAATAAAATCTTCTGTATTTTCCCTGAATTATGAAGAAAGGGGAAAATTAAAAGGATTCGTGTTAAGTATGCTGCCCGAATGCTGTGCCAAGCTAGTGCGGGCAACCCACACTGAGAGTCCACAGAGCTGCCGCATTCCTCACCCCGCGCACGTGGGCAGCGCTGGATGGGCCGGGAAGCTTGGAGGAGCAGCAGCTTTGGCTTCCACAGCCTGGGCACAGGCCAGCATAGCTGTGGCTGGTGCTCTGGAGGCTGCACACGGCCAGGCTGGACCCGGAGCCAGCCAGGGACCGTGAAATGGCAAAACTAAACATGCTCTGGGTTGCTGTTCTTATTGTGGGAAAGGGTCTGCTTCTGGAAAGCAAGGGGGGGAACTGTTTGTTTTGTCTTAAAAATCCTGAAAAGGAGGATGTTTCAGGGAAAAAAAAAGGGTAATGTTTCAATTTGGGTACATTTCTATAATATCCCCTTTGGAGCTGTAGTTTGGTTAACCTCTGTGGGTCAAGTGCCCAGCTACAGAAACCTCTCCTCAGGCTCGCTGGCCAGAGAGCCTCAGGAAACAACCACCACCCTGGTGCTTTGTGGAAGATTTAAGCAGGGAATTTAGTCTCTGGAGAAGAAGGGAACACAACACACAACATGCCCAGACAAACACTGCACTAAGATTTATTTCTTTTCATTTTCTTTGTTAATTTTGCAGGAAGATTATTTTTCTCCCCCAATTGACTCTAATGGAATTAACATTCTCTTCCTCTGTGTGATCCCCAGACCACTACAACTGTGTTTTGCCTGTTGTTGGGAGGGACATGAAATACATGATTAAGTTCAATGAGATCATGGTGGTTTCTAAGGGTATTCCATCCCTTTCCTCTGCCCTATCAGCTATCTGAAGCCTCTTTTAGAGCAGCAGAGTGGTAATCTCTTTCAGATGCTCCCAGTATTTCTACGTCTTGGCCAGATCACGAGCGAAGAGGGGATCATCAAAAGCAGAATAAAACAACACAGCAGCCATCCAGCATGAAGTGATAGATATCTGTGGGTGAGAGAAGCTGATTGCTCTTGTGTTTTATTTTCAAACGCAGAGGGCATGTCACTGCCTCTCAGTTGTCGTTTGCTAGGTTGAAGCTATCTGTGGTTCTAGAAAGCTGTGACATAGATAGAATAGACACGGAAATATTTTGTCAATGGCTGAAACTGGCCTTATGTTGGGATCAGATGGGCAGGAATTAGGAAAACAAGAACAAGGAAACTTTGTGCATAGCATCAAAGGCAGAGCTGGCTCACACTTTGTAGAGCAGAAGCTTGGTCCTTATTGTTTGTTGACTTTCTCCCAGTTTGCGTGCTTGAAGCACTTGAGCTTGTGGGCATGTTTAATGGTGTGTTGACACTGGAAGGCAAAACCCGTGTCTCATGGGTGCAGCAAGCCTGTTAGGCAGCTGAGATATCCGAAGTAGGTTTATAGGGACATCCTGAGTAACTGGAGCTGTGGCAAGGATACATCTGCAAAAAAAAGAGAGAAGTGTTGTTTCAGTGGATCATACAGAATCAGACCTGATATTTGGAGCCATGTGGCTATTGTAAGTTGTTAAGATCTCTCCCCTGGGCACAGTGTATCTATACACAGACTTACACAACTATGTTTGTAGATGCTGAGCAGAATCCTTATCACCTTTTTGTTCTGTATCAAGTCATTGTTGTTCTTTGACCCACTGTGACCAGTGGAAATTATTTTTGGCAGGATTCTTAGTGTCTAGAAAGGGTTGATTTTGTGCTGCAGCCATGCTGTTTCTGTAGTGAATTTTAGCTTTTCCTCCCCCCTTTTGTTCCTCCTGTGTTTGGTTATTTCTGTTCATGAAAGGTGTAGGAGTTAGCGGCTTTACTCTCCCATCATTTTGATGGAAACTGGCCTAGGGCATTTAAAGTTACTAGAGAGCTACTGAGACAGGTAGATCCAAAGGAAGCACAGTTAGATAGGACAAAGGAAATTAGGCTATAAGGAGCATTGAAAGAGAAGTTTGAGTTGTCCTGAAAAACACTTGCACAAAAACATTCCAGTATGATTGGTTAGAAGTTGCCAAAGCGTGGCCAAAGCTATTGACTGTTGACCACAGATGATGCAACATCTGTGTAAGTGTGTTAGGAGTTCAGGTCCAAGGTGCACTTCACCTCTCTTTCTACCTAATAATCTATATGTACTGTTGCAAACACACCCATTTTTCAATAATCATCTGTCACAAAGCACTCTGTCCCTTTCTGGAGCTCAGCTTTCTGTCCCTAACCCCATGTGCTAGTAACCCATCATGGATGAGATGTGCTACCCATCTTTGTGTTCATCTTAATATCAAGCATGCTCCAAGGGATGTTTAGTCCTGAGCTATGCTTTTTCACATGAGGAGCAAAGCAACCTTCCCTTGAGTTTTGCTGAATGAATGGAGTCTTGGCGTATTCAAGGCCAGGTTGGACAGAGCCTTGGGTGACATGGTCTGGTGTGAGTGTCGCTGTCCATGGCAGGGGTAGGAACTGGATGATCTTAAGTTCCTTTCCAACCCAAACCATTCTATGATTCTATGATAGAAAACTTCTCTTTTTCATTATGCCTCAAGCACAATACTGGCTTGTGAGTCTGTGTTCACAATTTGAGGCACGGCAGCTCTCCTGTGTCTTCTTAGAAGACTGGATTTTGCCTTTTGTGACTGTGGGTGCATTCTCCAGAGCTCACAATTGCTTGTGTTCTGTGGCACTCTAGGCTGTGTGTTACCAGCTTTCAAATGTTTGTATAGATTGCAGTCATCTCGTAGAGTCTATGAGTCCTGGCCCTGTGAGTGATGGCAGTAGGGAAGGACCAGGACGTGTGTGCTGCGTTTTTATTGCCAGTCCTGAAGCTGCTTTAATAGCTGCTAGGTCTCTCAAACTGTGCTCATCAGACTGAGGATCTCAGGATGGCTGATGAGCTGGTGAGCACAGGGTGGCTATGGCTGACAGCACTGACCATCTGTATTTTCTGTTACACCAAAGGAAGCAATGGGCAAGGTGGGAAGAAAGAAAGAAAGGGAGAAAGGGCACTCATGGCTTTCAATACTTTTAAAAGAATCATCAGTTTTATTAAAGACTAAAATAAGAGATGTGTATCTAATAAAAGTGGCATTAGTGCGGAGCTAGGTAATTAACATAATCGTGTCTAATTTCAGTATAATTAGCATGCTCTAATTAAAAAAGCCATTAGTATAATTAGAACACATACAAAATTAGCACAGGAGTATTTTAAGTAGAGGTTCTGCTGTCCTGTTGGTTAATCTGACATGGTCAATGAAGCTGCTGTTGTCATTTTGCCTTTCTGGTGAATAGCTCACATCCTTGCACAGCAGAGGAACTAGTGAAGGGTGGCAGTGGAAGACACATAGCTGTAGTTCTGTGCTGTGAAGCCTTTGCTAGCGGAGCGTGTGTTGTTGAGCTAATAATTTTCATGGGAGGATGCTCAAGCGTATAAATTAGCCCTATGTGGATTAGCAAGATTTTCCTGCCTGCATCCAGCAGACAGCTGTTTGGGACTGTACTTGTCTGGATAAAATCTGTCCTGGAATCTGTAGTCTTCGGCGAGGTTGCATCAGTTTTCACCAGCCAAAGGTGCAGTGGCCTTTTGAATTGCATCTGGACATTCATTATCGGAGAGGTTAAGCTGCATGAAGGCTATTTAATTACAGACCTACAATGGTTTCTGCATGCTTTCCCTGGAATTCATTGTGCGTTCAGGAAGGTGTGTAAATCAAACAACCGGCACATCAGGCAGGGGGGAGGGTGTGTGGGGGCCGAGCAGGAGGAATTATTGGATGCCCTCATAAAACTTTAAAAGGCTTGAATGTCAAGTTTAAACTCTTGGGGCCTTAAAACCTGAGTCTCAAGGCACTTCTACCTGCTGTTTCATCACATAAGCTTTTCACTGTTCATGAGCTGCAAACCCAAGATGATTATGACTTCTATTTCCCTGCAGTGTATTTAATTTCGCTTTACTGTTGTCATCATACCCATGTCTGAACCACCTTTCATCTCCTCCTACCACTCATCATCCTTTCAGTTGTAGCCAGTGATGCATAGGCTTTTTAAATAGAGTGTTCCTTGTAGGCTCTTATATCAAAATCTGTTTAACCTCTGGTGCTTTCAAGCTTAAGGCAAAATCACTGTGTATTAGCAGTTCTAATGCGTAACTGCACTCAACAGGAGAGTTAGCAAATCTGCAGAGTGATACCGCAGCATGGAAGGGATAAGTGTGCTGCCAGCTGTGGCCAGCTGTTTGGCTTTACACTCCCTGCTGAAGCGATGGGTGCCCCATGCTGACTCTCCACAAAGACCTCTTGTGCTTCATGGCAGTGGATGCCCACTCTGCTTGACCTGTCCGTATGGTAGAAGGGGCAGAGATGGTCCTAAACTCATGTGGCAGAGTAAGGCAGGCACTGGGCTCTTCCTCCCTGATGCCACTGCCATCTCCTTGCAGTGGTTTTGTCCAGGGGGAGCACCAAGTGTTTCATCCTCTCTGTCCCTGGGAGCCCCCTTGCATCCTGTCTGCTTGTTCTTTATCTCTGTGTGCGCTGTCACCGGGGTAATCTTAGATGCTTGGGCCTCTTCTCTGCTGTAGTATTTAAGAACAAACACTCTGCATGCACCATCAGAAATGTTCTACATGATACCCTAAGTGACAGGGGGATTTACAATCAGATAGAAGTAGTGGCATCCACAGCAAAGCAATCAAACTGACAACTGAGTAGCTCAAATTTGAATTTAGAGGAAGTTTGGGGTCATGTGCAGTCAAATCTCCCCTTTGATTGCGGTTGGCAGTAACAGTTCCTAATGTCCCTGCCAGAAACTAGCTTGGGAAAGCTGTGTTGAATTGTCTTTTCTGCTTGGCAGCTGGAGTTACTTCATCTTGGTTCCTTCATCACCCCACAAACCAAGCCCTTTAGTAACAGCTCTCATAGATACGGGAGAAAGTGTCTGGGGAGGGGATGTTCAACTGAGCTCTTGGCTCCCCGGTTAGCTCATAGAATCATAGAATAGTTAGGGTTGGAAAGGACCTTAAGGTCATCTAGTTCCAACCCCCCTGCCATGGGCAGGCACACCTCACACTAAACCATGTCACTCAAGGCCTCGTCCAGCCTGGTCTTGAACACTGCCAGGGATGGAGCATGACATCTCTTTGGGTCAAAGCAATCACAGTTGTGGTAACAGAAGAACTTGTGCATAATGGCACAAGTTGGTAATATATAATGTGCATAATGGCACAGTTTGGTAAGTTCCCCATAAAATACTCACTTAATGCATGATGCTTCAGTTAACACTAAGTCCAGGGGGAATCTTATCACTTGGTGGTCATCTTGCAAGAGAGAGAAAAAAATCTGTGCTCCACAGTGCTCATTTCCTAGAGTAAGTGAGCCTCTTGGCTCAGTCTGAGGCTTCTTGCCTATTTCCATCCCAGCTATTTGTTCTTTCACTCCAGATTTATAGCATCCTAGAAATAATTCACTTGATTTCCATTCAAAGAGTCAGAAACCATGGCAAGGTATTGCACTGCAGAGTATCAAAATGCTTTGTTAATGAGAAATGGGCAAATGAATCTAAGGAAATAACTCTACTTTCCCTGAGTATTTCCTCATGCCTGGGACCAAACCCAAAGCCAAGCTGAGCCTTCCTACTAGGATGGATTCATGTTTCTCCAGTGTTGTTTTTGATTGCTTCTCACATCCCATCCCTGCTTTGGAGTTTGGGTTTGGATAGAAGCAGCAGTTCTGAAAGGTTATGAAATGGTTGTTTCCGTCATGTCTCTGGCCCACTCAGCCACAGAAATAGTTAGAAGTTTTGGTGGAGCCTCTGAAAATTCATTTTGAGCCATGAACTATGGGGAAATCTATGGATGGTTTGGGAGAGGCTGCATTCTGAGGCTTTCAAAGCTCACTAGCAAGATTATTTCTTTGGAAATGCAGGCTGTAAATGAAAGGTAATGGAGATATATCTCCATTTGGTTGTTATTTCAGCACTGCTGCTAAGGTGCGAGGAGTAAAAGGTTTAATAGATTCCCCTTTTATCTCATCTTTGTGCTGAGAAAACAGGGGGTGCTTTGATTTAGCAAAGCCTCATCAGCTGTTATGATTTGGTTTTGCAAACCTCAAGCTGGGGAGGTTGGGGTCTGGCTTCCATTATATTCTAACCAGAAGGTTCATGCAGAAGGGCTTTTCTGCTCAAACTATCCTGAATTTGTCCAGTTTAATCCCAGCAAAACCTAAACTCTCAGCCCTTTAGGGTCTGTCTGTCACTGTTGTTAATGCACTGCAATATGCTGTGTAGAGTTTGATAGACAAATGAACTCTTGGAGGATATTTATCACACACATACACAAACACACACAAATAAGTGTATCTATTGCAGTATTATGAAGTTCTATTTCGTTTGACCACAGTGGTTTCTACTTAGCCACAGAAATCTCATGCGTATACGAGCCAGCCCCGATTTTCGTTTGTGCTGGGGTGAAATCAAAATCTACTGAGCGTGCTTCAAATGAAGGCAGACATTGTGCCAGCACCATGCCACCAAGGGAAGGAGCTCTGCTCTCTGTCTTGTCTTCTTGCTGTTTTCTCTTCTCTGTCTTTATAGAGCTGCAGCCTAAAGTGGATCAGGGAGAGGAAAATGAACATGGTGCTTATGTGCTGGATGTGCTGGATGTGAATGATACTGAGAAATTGGAGATCAGCCCTTAAAAATATACTTACAGTATAGGCATGTAACTAAATTAATAGCAGGCATAACTCTTTTAAAAGTCACTTGACTTTAATTGACATATCAATATAATTGGCAATTATCTTAATTGATATACATGGCATAAATACTGTGCTCTGGAAAGCTTCCAGTCCTTCTCTATTAGAGTATTAAGCCATAACATATGCAGATTACATGGAAATACCACTGAAGCGTTTGTTAAAAGAAATTCCTTTCTTATGTCTCTTTCTTATACTTTTTTTTATATCATGTATATATGTAAATATGCAGAAAACAGTCACAAGGACATACTGAGTATTGTCAGTACAGTCTTTTAAACAATTTCAAGTGATTCCACTAAAGGGTTTCTACAAGTTTCACACTCTGCTTTTGTGGAAATCAGCTTTCAAGTCAGTCAGGCTAGAGATTAGATCCAAAGATTTAAAACCCCTATAGATCAAAAGCAGATGCTCTTAGAAGACATTTCAGCCAAGACGAGCCGTCTGGGGACATTGTTACAGCAGGAGAAGACAATTTATCATTAAAACATGAAAGCCTCTGTTCAATAATAACCAGATGTATTAAAAAAAAAAAGGAAAGGAAAAGAAAAAGAGAAAGAAAAAAATAGGGGTGTCAAGGTCTTGATTCATTTGTCTCCCACTAGAAATCATCTTTATCCCATACTTAGGAAACGAGTGCAGATTCTTTGATGCCAAGACATAATATAAGAAGAATTGAAACATTTTACATTGTAAATCCTGGGCAATTGTCAAAGAAATTTTAATTATATAAAAATCTGTGATGCCTTAGGTAAAGATAAGGAGCAATCAATTTAAAGAACAGTTTCCGTGACTTAAAATAACAAGCAGGGGAAGAGCTGACAGGAGCACTTCAGACCCTTCTTTCTTTCTTAGTACCAGCTTTCTCTTTTTCCCATCTTCTTTCTGACCTAATGCAACTCAGTAATAGCGCTTAACTTTAGCCTAAAACCTCCACTCCAAACACTTGCAAACATCATTTAAGCCTTCTCCATATAGAAGAGGAATTTCTGTGAGCCAGACGTGTAGGGAAACCAGGGCACAGTGAGATGGGATGAGTTGCCTCCTCATACACAGCATACAGATAGGAGAGACAGGAAGTGAGATTCTTAAGGTCTCCTTTTCCCATCTCATACTCTAACCACTAGAGAGCATCCCTTCCTAGTGAAATGTATAGCTCTGTAACACAGGAAATGCATTTGCTGCCAGTATATGGGAAGTAGGAAGTCTTCTTCACTCTCTATTCTTGTTTTACAGGCCAAACTATAAGAGAGTGGGTGTGATTAACAACATTTGTTATAATGTATTTAAAATCATTTCCAGGTCTGTGGTTAAGCATTTCAGGCTGAAGTTCCCTTGAGCCTGAGTACGTCTAAGGACTCGGATGTGATGTGTAGTCAGGACAGGAATTCTTTGCCATTGCCACCAAGCAGGTCACAGAGCAATCTGCCCGAGCTCTGCATCCCACCCGCACAATGGGACACAAGCCTCATTTGCTTTTGGCATAGCAATGTGAGAGTGAAAGGTGTGTCAGAGAAACGGGAAGGATCTTGCTGAAAAATGGTTTCAGTGATGTTGAAAACTCTCATTCTTTGACATGGAAGTTTTTGGAAGAAGTATATTGGCTTATAAGAAAAGTGAGTTGGAAGGAGAGACCTGTCCATCCTGCACAAGTTCAGAGGGGAACACACTTGTAGGGCTTTTTTGATACCTCCTTTGAGCCAGGCAGATTTGAACTCTCTCTTGATTCCTAGGTTATCCTGAAGGATGGGCTCCCCCACCTCTGACTGTGAGGAAAACCTTTGTCCTGGCCCTGAGGAGCCTTCCCAATAAAACTGTTGTCAAAACCAGTAATGAGAGAAATTGTCAGATTCAGTAAAATGTGAACTTCATTTTGCCTACCACGTTTAATATCTTACATGTGAGGCTGTGTCATCATTTGCTTCCTATGTAGCTTCTGCCTGTGGTATCCTTAATAAGGCATTTGGAAGAAAGAACCAACTGATAAGACAGGCACAGATGCTGTTTGGCCCCTTAAGAGGACAGGGAGGACGATTTAGAGAACATCCACTAGACTGATGAGCACCTCTGAAGATGTAGGACATGGATGTTTGTGGATTTCTACAGCTCTTTGAGTATGGAGGACAAGCCAGAGGTCTCTTGTCTGTAGGTGGCTTCTGGGCTCCAGTCAAGCCCTACTACAGTGGTTCAAAACCAGATTTTTCCAGGGAAAGTATAAGGAGGCTGTGCCAAGTTCTGGAAAGCGTATCATCATTCCTGCCCTTTAGGAACTGGAAGCACTTAACGAACTAATTCCATTCTTTTTTCTTTGAATAAGAAAGACATTGCCATCTTCTAGTCCAACAGGAACACTTATGGTAGAAAGTACTTAGCTTTCAGGAAAACTCAACTTGGGTGAGCTGGAGAACAGTCACCATGGAAAAATGAAGTTGATTGTGTTTTTATTTCTCCTCTGTGTGCCAAGCACCATTCATTTCAAACAAATCTATTTACTGTGCTAAGCATAGTAATGTTGATGAGAAGTATCAAGAAAGCATGAGATGGATACTAGCTTTTGATTATTCTGTTGATGTCTCTGGAGCCACATATTGTAGTTTGGAGACGTGTGCAGACCTACAGACCCACTGGGAATGACAGCCCTTTAGTGACACATTTGCAAGTTGCAACATGCTGCAGTTGGCTGAAGGTGTACGGTCTGATATTGTGATTTCTGCTGTTTCAAGTGGGCTTCATCTCCTTTTCTTCATTTGGGAAGAAGGCTCTTTGCATCCGTCTTGGAAGGCAAATGTTCATAAGCAGAGGGGACTGAAGCAGGCAAATCAGGTCCAAGGCCAGATTAACAGCAGTGCTGTCGTGAAAAAGCTGAGTCCTGGCTTTCTTGTTCTGACTCACAGCAGAAACTCTGACTGAATTGTATCCAGCCTGGATCTGTGCACAGATCTGTAAACCCCAGAGTTTGAGAGTTCACATCTGGGGTTCCTGACATTGGTTTAAAGGCAGGAAGAATCGGAAAGAAAGGGCTGGTCAGCAACTGGGGGAAGACAAGAACAAGGAAAATAGGAATTACAAGGGGAATGACAGGTAGAAACATTTACCCTTTGATTGTCCAATGTTCTTTCGATTGTACTTACATATTCTGCATGTGTACAATCTCTCCATTGCTTCTAGATCCCTAGTGTCTGGGTTTCACAAGGTGGAGATCCTTCTGGATGCCAGTGGCCACCACACTGACACTGGAGCTGCTATTGTGCCTGAACAGAAGCTTGCTTAGGGCACAAGTGGTTCATGTGGTCACATATACCATTTACACAGTGTGGGAGAGCACACACATAAAAGTTTAGTGCAGAAGTGCACAAGCACAGACTCACACAGCCCTCGGGCCTTTTCTGTTAACAATCAGACCCATAAAGCGCATTAAAATAAACCAATTTTTACAGCTCTGCACTGCTGTTCAACCAAGCATTTCAAGAAGCAAGCAAAAGCACCCACTTCTCTGGAAATATGAGACTTCATTCCTATCCAGGAGCACAAATTGTACTCAGGAGGGAGTTATGAAACCCTGTTTAAGTTCAGATTTGTATTCAGCTTTACATACCTTTGATTCACCCTTCTGTAGGAGGTGTTTTTAATTTTTAGCCTTTGATAGCTCTATACTGGTGTGGGCAAACCATTTCCCAACAGTTTTTCCTCAGGGTTACGAGAGCATGAGGCAGAAATAAGCAAGGGTTTTTCCTCCCTTTTTTCAAGTGTCAGTAGATACAAGAGGAAAGTATATTCAAGTGCAGAGAGCCTTCTTGCCAACTGCTTCATGGCTGCCTGCACCGTGAGTTAAAAGGGCACAAGCAGATGCTGCTCTCTGTCCACTGCTGATCTTGGGCAAGGCTGAGTTTAGGGTCCATGCTGAAGGATGATGGTACAGACTGGGTGAACCCATCCACATCTGATCCAACCTGATCACTCAGACGGGGTGGCCAGTGTCAGAGAGGCATCCTCTGAGCAAAACAAGCAAGCAAACAACCCCCTTCTCAATACAACACAACACCGTCTACAACAAAAGGATCTTGATTCTACTCTATCCAAGCCCCAAGCCCCAAACAAACGAGCATTTATAATAATCAATTGTAAATGCGTAATTGTGTATTCTTCTTATTTTTCTTTGAGTTTCCTGCAATCCTTTCAAATAACATCACAAATCCTTTTGCATTTGTCAAGCTAAGTGAGCCTCTCGTTTTTTCCCAAACCTTGCTTGGCTGTAAGGGCTTTAAATATTGCTTCACTTGACATAAAACAAAGATGTTTTTGCTGATAAGCATGCGTAATGGTTCAAAACTGTTCCAGAGAGCAAATCTGGTTTCTCAAAGGTAAACGATACAAAAAGCTGGCCTTTGATTAAATATTCCAATCGTTACATGCTAATGGTGCATGAAGCTGTGATTTATCAGCCAAAACAATGTGCTGGAAAATGAACATCATTCATTAAGCTTGAACCAAACTCCACTTGAGCTTTCCACTCACAATAATTCTTGGCCGAGAGCAATTGGTGTCACGCAGCAGAGGCCTGTTTGTAGGAGACTTCTCATTTTTTATGCTGCTCTGCTCTCGAGACATGAACTCTGCCACCCGAGCTGTGCTCTGCAGGAAGCAACTACCTGAGCATCCATCAGCAGCACTGGCTTGTAAAAGAACGAGGGGCCACAGGGGATTCTGTTTCTTGCATACCTGTTTCAGGCACTGGGAGCTGTTCTCTAAGTGCCCAGCGAAGCATGAGGTTCAGGAGGAGCAGGGGCACATCCTCACCAGAGAGCAATTCCAAGGGGCTTGCTTAGCCTCAGCACAACTGTGCTGCTCTTCCAACAGTGAGTGAAGATTAGGAAGGGTTGTTTTAACTCATGCTGAGTGCAAGCAGAGAGCTAGAAATTACTGCTCATCTTTGTGTAGTGAAAGACGACCTAGGAAGCTCATCCCACTGCTAGGAAGCTGCAGGAGGATGGACTGGTAGCAGATCCTGTCGCCTTGGCCTCCTGCCTCCACCCTGTGAAAACAGTGCTGGGTGCCAAAGAGCTAGAATTACATGTCAGGCTGCAACATGCTTATTTTTAGGCATGCCAATGTGAGCTGGGGACAGTGGGACTGATCAAAAGTGGTTTTGTGCTCTTTGCTGCCTCTGAAGAAGGGTGTTTGACAGCGCAGGGCTGGAGATGGTGTGCCTGCTGCTAGCAACACATTTTGCACTGTTTTGATAGCATCCTGGGGCTGGCTATGGTGTAATAACAAGGAGTTGGATCTGTTTATTAAAAGAAGATGTCTGTTTTGTTACTGTCTTTGCTACAAAAGCAGCTGAAGAAAGGAGATGCCAAATTGATTGTTGGTGTAGCTGCAAAAGTGGTTCGTCACTACAGAGATTTGTACCATTAGATTCAACTCCTAATGTAAATCGGGGTCAGGAAGCAGTTTAGTCTGTTCCCCATAGTCTCAAAACCTCAAAACCACTGCGATTAACTTCCTTCTCACCCACTTTGCACATCCAGCCGAACACCGAAGACGTAAACCAGAAGAATTTCCTGCCCCTTCACATCACTTCATTTCTATGTTCGCACGCAGGGAAGAGAAATAACAAAATGATTTTGACCAAAACCAACTCATCAAGCTTTAGAAGGAGACAACAGGAGAGGGAGGAGGGTATTTTTGGCTGGAGAGGTATGCACAGGCATGTGGAATTCACACCCTGATTGATACATGGTCATGGGGCTTGAGCAGCAGTGGCAGTGCCAGGACTCATCTGCTGCACCGCTGCCTGGAGCAACTGCCCCACATGACAGCATGGTTGTCATCGCTCCTAATAAAGCCAGAAATCCAGGTAATATGGGAAATGGGGCAAGGATGCCAAGCACTGTTCATAGTATATATGTGATAACATCGAGCAGTGGGATTGCCATGCTGTCTGCCCATGTTGCTGCACCATGGGGTATCTGAACTGTGCTGGGCACACACCGGTGACTGCTGCGTGCTCCACCTTCCTCTCCAGGGCCCAGTCAGGACTGAGCCAACAAACGTGGTGTTCGGCATCATGTCTAAATCATAGAATCATAAGATAGTTTGGGTTGGAAAGGACCTTCAAAGCTCATCTAGCCCACGCCCCTGCAATGAGCAGGGACATGCTCAACAAGACCAGGTTGCCCAGAACCACATCCAGCCTGGCCTTGAATGTCTCCAGGGATGGCACATCCACCACCACCTCCCTGGGCAATCTGTGCCAGTGTCTCACCACCCTCATTGTAAAGAATTTCTTCCTCACATCCAGCCTGAATCTATCACAACAGGCTGCTCTAGAAACTCCGAGCTAGGTAGAGGGGGCCTTTTTGTCCCAGCTCAATGGTTTATGTCAGGGATGATGGATAGCTCTGCTTGTAGAAGTAGGTTACACCTGCGGTTAGCTGGCAGCGTGCACACGGTTGTGCTGGGAAGCTGACATACTGCTGCTCCATTAGCAGTGTGATTGACTAATTTGCTTCTCCTTTGATCTAGCACTTGGCAATTTTGGAAGAGAGAAGGGAAAGCCCCTCTCACCTCAGTTGGTTGTGTAAGGGGAATGCTGAGGGCTGTGCTGGCAGTGTGCTTCTGAGGTGGGGCAAAGAGACCTGAGAATGGGACTGAGTCCAGCCTGGGCAGGGATCAGCACTTGGCCTCTGCAACAGGGTGCTAATCCAGAGAGTGGGATGGATGAGCTCTTTGTTGCCACTTGATTCTGGGAAGTGAAAGGAGGCACTGGGGCACTGGAGGCACACTGGCAAATCATTCTGTGACTGCAGAAGTCGTTGCGTGTGATTTGAGAAGCACATGGTGGGCAGTGGGTTGTCCTCACTGAAAGGTAAAGGTGTGATGGATGTCCTGGTAGCTCTGCTGTGTGGACTTAGCATCCCTCCTGTCTCTGTGTTCCCTCTGTTGCTGCTCCTCTTGGAGGCTCCAATTAGATGCCAGGTTAAGAGCTGTGATCATACGATACAGCCACTGTTTTTAGGGATAAGAACTTTATAAGTGGCAAGTGTTCCCAGTCATTGAGCCAGAGAAAGGAAGGAATGTAAGGAAAAAGGTGACGAAACATCTCTGAGTATTTCCAAGGTCTGCCACAGACTCTCCATATGACCTTTGGGAATTCCTGCATCATCTTGGCCCACCTTTAGCAGTCTGAGTGCAGCCCCAAGGAACTGCAAACGCTTCCTTTCATCCACTCTTTAAATTACCAGCTCTTCTGAGCAGGTATTGTTTTCTGCCTGGGCTTCTGGACTACCTGCCAATAGGTACAACACCATAGTGGGTTGTGAGCAGGGGCCCCCATCTAACCAAGATACTTAGGTGCCAAATTCCTGTTCAGTAAGAGCTCCTGCTTACTTTGGAGATGTGGGCTTAGAGCACAGCAGACCACAAATAATCCTCCTGGCACACTTCAGACCTTTGCAGAAAAATAAAATAGGTCTTAAAGTCTGTGTGCCTACGTGGCAAACCCTTCAGAGACATTTTGATTTATTGGGGGACACAAATTTTAACCGTGAGCTTCCTTCTCAATAGTCATACGTTACTTTTTCCATTGTAGTTTACATTCCCTGTTGCTAAAACTAACAAAATGTTCATGTTAACAGAAAGTCTTTTCCCTGCTGGGCCCCAAATTAAACATTCCTGGAGAGTTAGGTGGCAGTTTCTTTATTCTGTGTTGCGAATTAACATGTTTGCATAACTTAATGGTCAGTGCATCAGACAGGAGTTCCAGAAGAGATCAATCTTGAGCGCTGTGTTTGACTTCATGGGCCGAGTGTCCTCCTCTCTGTACGGCATCACCGTGTAGGCTGCTGAAATAGCCTTCTGGTATGGGGCTATCCATCACTGGCTTTGTGTCTGGTTTCTGTGAGGAAACCACAGAGAATGAAAACACGTCAAATGGCCTACTGAAAGCAGACTTATCACTTCTGAAAGCTGAGAGCAAGCAGTAGCACATCCCATGGAGAAAACCAGCTCTGGCTTATGGGGAAGAGCCCTGAATTCTTCCACCTTCAGTGGACACACCTTGAAAAAACATCTTTACCTCCAGCTTCAGCTCTCTTGGTGCTGTGAAACCCTATTTGAGGGATCTGGGGAAACTCCAGTGCCTCTGTTGTCTCAGCTGCAGCATATAAGCTGCTTTGGAGGAGGAAACCACCCATGAGCACATGATTTCCTGTCCTGTGCTTTGCAGTTTTCTTCTTTTAAGAAAATAACTCGGGATTCTTCCCAAATGCACTTTTTTGGTGTGTGCTCAGAGTGTTTTCCCTTGCCAAGTTGAGGGCCTAAAGAAGATGAAGGGAAGAAACTCCCCTGGACTTTCACAAGGCAAAGATCTAAAGGATGGTGTATATTTGAAAGAAGAGAAGGGGAGGTTACCATGCTTATAGAAATTACATTAAATAGGAAGTCGCATCACCAGTATTTCTAAAATCTGGGGTACTGC